AGGAACATGGTCTAAAACAGAGCTTGTAGGTGCAGAGAATGGGACCCCTCAGCTGGGTCCATTTTGGGAGGCAGTGAGCCAGACAACCACGTCTGCCCTTCAATCCATGTCTCCAGCCAGCCCCAAACTGAAACTCCCTCCAGCCCTGCCCTGCTCTGGGCTTTGTCCCTTTCCCGGGCCAGGAGGTCACCTGATTCCTTTGTTCTCCAACCCTTTAGCTCTCACCTTGCAGGGGGGAAGGGCCCAGGCCATCAGTTGCCAGGAAACAGGGTGTCGGCCATTCTTGTGTCCAGACTCCTGCACATACCTGCCCTCTAGGGCTCTGCAATGATCATACACCCTTACCCCACCCCCTAGATACTTAAGAACTGCATAGGGGAAACTGAGGCACCCCCACACTATTCAGAGGAAACATTAAGAACAGTCCCACTTCATCACATCTCTCCCCCTTCGAGATCGAACTGAGCGGGGTCACTTTAGCCACCAACGTTCCCATGGATGCCCCAGCATCTCTCCCATTCCTTTAGCTGGCTTTTTTTTAAATTAAATCTCAGCCAGAATTAATACTAAAAAGGGGAGAAAAACCCAACTGTTTTCAAGACTGAGCTTGATAAATTTATGGTGGGTGGTGGTATGAGGAGATGGCCACATGCCATTGTAGGCACATCGACAACTGCTCGTAGCAAATATCCCCAATGGCCAGTGAAGGTTGGGAGGGCTCTGAGTGACTACAGAGAACTCTTTCCCCAGGGTCTGGCTGGTGGGTCTTGCCCACATGCTCAGGGTCCAACTGCCTGATATTTGGGGTCATGAAGGGATTTACTGCTACCTCCCCCTGCCAGAGCCTTTTGCTACTGGGTTTAGCTACACAGACAGTGAGTGTGGAGGCAGCCTATATATTTCAGACCATGTCTCTGGTCTGTCAAGGTAATTCTGAATTCTAATCCTGGTCTCTAAAGTGCTTGCAACCCCTCCCAGATTGGTATAATCTGCAAACTTTGTAAGTGTACTCTCTCTGCCATTATCCAAGTCATTTATGCGGCTATTGAATAGAAGTGGACCCAGGACAGATACCTGTGGGACCCCACTCGATATTTCCTTCCAGCTTGGCTGTGAATCATTCATAACTACTCTCTGAGTACATTTTCTAACTAGTTCTGCACCTACCTTATAATAGGATCATCAGTCTATATTTCCCTGGTTTGCTTACGAGAAGGCGATCTGAGACTGTATGAAATGTCTGACTAAAGATGAGATGTACCACATCTACTGTTCCTATCCCCGCCCCCATCCCCTAGTTTTGATACCTTGTCAAAGGAGGATATGAGGTGGGTTTGACGTGATTTGTTCTTTACAAATCCATGTTGACTGTTAGTTGTCACCTTATCTTCTGGGTGCTTGCAAATTGATTATTTGCTCCATTCTTTCCGGGTACAGAAGTTACATTTTTGGATTATAATTCCTGGGTTGCCCTTATTCTGCTTTTTATTGAAAGGTACCACTTGCCCTCTTCCAGTCCTCTGGGATCACTCCTGTCCTGCGAGAGTTCTCAGAAATAAATTGTTAATGGCTAAGGTCTCTTTGGCCAGTTACTTAAGTATTCTCTGGTGTATTTCATGGCCCTGCTGACTTGAGGATGTCTAACTTGTCTACATAATTCTTAACTTGTTGTTTCCCTATTTTAGCCTCAGATCCCACCCCATTTATACTGATGTTCACTGTTAGTCCTCTGATTACTACTAATCTTTTTGGTGAAAACCAAAACAAAATGGTATTTAATATTTCGGCAATTGCTGCATTTTCTTGTGACTGTGTTTCCCTCCTCATTGAGCAGTGGTCCTTCCCTGTCCTTCATCTTCCTCTTGCTTCTAATGTATTTGTAAAATGTTTTCTTGTTACCCTAAATACTTCAATGATTGTGATGCTCAGACACTACAGTAATGGGGACAATATAAAAACCTAAGATAGCTTGACGGCTCGAGCTCAAACATGGCTTATAAAAAAAAAAGATATGCAAATGCATATCCTTAATGCCCTGCCTAAGTCATTTAATAGCTTGACACCTGCATGGCTAGGACACAAGGAGGGGTCTGTGCAGCTAATGCCGGGACACCATGAGCACTTTATCCAGCATCAACAGCATATTTTGGCTGAATTGTCTCTTCTGTCTAGTGCGTGTAAAGGAATGATGGTTTCTGACATTTTCTGGAAATACTGCGGAATATTGTGCATTATGGGCCTGGTGCAAAGGTCACTAAAGGCAAGGGGAGAACTTCCAATGGTCTGAGTGGGGTTTGGAGCAGGGCCTACTGGAATGTTGATTAACATTTTTGAAGGGGACTTAGGTAATGGGGTATCTAATTCCCCTTGACTGTACCCTTTGAAAATTCCAGATGTGATTCATGATACTTTTTCCCCCCTAGGGGCTCTGTCAAAGGTTCAGCTGGTGGAGTCTGGAGGGGATGTGAAAAAGCCCGGAGACTCTCTCCGCCTCTCGTGCAAAGCCTCCGGCTTCTTCATCAGTAGCAACTGGCTGGATTGGATCCATCATGTTCCTGGGAAGGGACTGGAGTGGGTCTCCAGCATTGATAGTGCAGGTACCCCATATGACCTGGACTCAGGGAAAGGGCAATTCACCATCTCCAGAGACGCCTCCAGTAACCTGGTGCATTTGCACATCAGCAGCCTGAAACCTGAAGATGCCGGTGTGTATCCTTGTGCTAGAGATATGGGATCTCTCACTCAGTGAGACCGGGCGGTGTCCTCGGGCTTCAGGCCGGTCATTTGCAGGTACAACAGGCTGTTGGGGTCATCTCTGGAGACGGTGAATCGCCCTTTTACCGAGTCACTGTTGTCTATGCTGGTGCTGTAAATGCTGGCGGTCCCTTCCCATGAGCCTGGCGGACCCAGTTCATGCCGGAGCTGCTGATGGTGAACCCGGAGGCTTTGCAGGAGAGGCGGAGAGAGTCTCCAGGCTTCTTCACACCTGTCAAGGTTCCTCCCCCACTCTGAACTCTAGGGTACAGATGTGGGGACCTGCATGAAAAACCTCCTAAGCTTATCTTTACCAGCTTAGGTCAAAACTTCCCCAATGTACAAAATATTACACCCGTTATCCTTGGAATGGCCGCTACCACCACCAAACTAATACTGGTTACTGGGGAAGAGCTGTTTGGACGCGTCTTCCCCCCAAAATACTTCCCAAAACCTTGCACCCCACTTCCTGGACAAGGTTTGGTAAAAAGCCTCACCAATTTGCCTAGGTGACTACAGACCCAGACCCTTGGATCTTAGAACAATGAAAAAACATTCAGTTTTTACAAGAAGACTTTTAATAAAAAATAGAAGTAAATAGAAATAAAGAAATCCCCCCTGTAAAATCAGGATGGTAGATATCTTACAGGGTAATTAGATTCAAAAACATAGAGAACCCCTCTAGGCAAAACCTTAAGTTACAAAAAAGATGCACAGACAGAAATAGTTATTCTATTCAGCACAATTCTTTTC